GCAAATACATTTTAGGCCAGCAATCTGACCTTCACTTGTCATTTTAGTTGCTGTGAATGTGTTGGTGGCGTTATGCGATGGAATCCCTCCAATGCTTTATTCCATGCAGTCAGGACAGGTTTAGGTCACTGTTCTTCTTACTCATTCTTTTGAGATTATGAAAGTATTGTATCTCACAATATAGAAAGATTGGAAATATTTAACTACAGGGTAGTGAAAATAATTTAAAAAGGTAATGGTATGATGAATACCTTCGAACAGACATTTTAAGGCTTTCTTTAATATACTTCTGTACTATGCAGTACTCAGATTATCCAGAACAAAAGTATTAGAAAATACATGTAGAGGAGGCTGTTTGTGCCATTAAGTAATATTTTTAGAAATACATTGTACAAAAGTGCAATGGTTTTCTAGTTGAGTTGACTATTAAGAATAGAATGTGTTTCATAGTGTATATGATCTACAAAAATTAAAGTCTATTTTTGGCCTTTACAGTCAAAGATTTAGAATGATGAGCAGCAGTTTTCAAGTTTCAGCACACTCGATAAGAGAGAACTGCTTTTGGAGCACTTTGCCTTCTGGAGAGAGAGAGAATCCAGAGGGAGCGTGTTTTTACTAAAATAGTCCACTGAGCCAGCAGCTCAAGCTGCTATATTATGGTCAAAATCAAATGGATCGCATGTGGGGAAGCCTGCAGTTGTACTGCTGGCCATTAGCAATAGTGTTTGTTGCTATGGGAACTACTGCTAAGGAACTGTACAGAGGGATTCGGATAAAGAGGGGGGGGAAAAACTGAAAGGACATAAAAATAAAAAAGCTATCCAGTTCTTATAAAGCAAGAGACAATCTATACATTGCTTATTGTGAACTACATAGAATCCTACACAGATCATTTAAATGAATTACTGATTTCCAATTAATTTGAAAATAAAATATTACCAAGGGACTGCTAATTTCTATGATATTTCAGGCAAAGAACCAAAGTGCTGGTGCAGTTTTCATCAGAATTTTAGATATGCTTGACTAGGAAGTCATTACATCACATTTATCTGTTTGGATGCGGGAGACATTAACAGCCTTATGAATATTCATTTTGTCTGGTTAATTAAGTTAATTGTTCTGCAGAAGTGCTTGTACTTCCAAGGACAATTTTTTTCACCATTTCTGCTTGGTACCTTCATCAGTCGTGCTTTATATGAACTGCTGATACTTTTGTCCTTACTCTTGAAATATATGCTAGCATATTTTGTGAGAGGGTAGAAGTTACATAGGCAGAAACTAGGTCAACATTACAAGTAGAATTTTATATTCTAATATAAAAAACCCTTTTGTTATTGTTAAAGTATATTTTGTAATCAGTATGTTAAGAAATGTCAATATTTAGACCTTTATAAACAAAATGGTTTTATTGTCTTGAGTGGTAGCTGAATTGGTAGGTCCAAATAAAAATTTTCACTATGTTGTATGTGAGTTTACAGAGTCTGTTTTCCCTCTTTCTCTCATATATGAAATAGCCATAGCACAGCTATTAATTTATTTAGTAGTATGACAGAGTACAGAGGCACTATTCTGTCACTGGTAAATAAGATCCCAGGTCTGAAATTGGTACCCCTGACCAAAAGGGAGGTGGGGGGGGGAATCAGCTACAAAATTTTGTATTTTTAACACAGTTTGTAAGTGTTTGCACCTGTTTTTGTTGAATTGAAAGCTTTTTTGTGGCACACTTTGTATTTTTATAGTATCTGCAGTTATAAGACTCTAACCCTCTACTCAATACTATTATCATATACTTGCTAAATAGTAAACACATATATTGCATAGAAGAAACACGATCTAGCATATAGATTGATTTTAGTTCTGTTCTTTGTGGAACTTCCAGACAAGGCTTTCTCTAAGCACAACTGGTTTCTCTCTCTTAGGTATTTCAAAATATATTTTGTCTCCTCATCTAAAACATAAACAATATTTTTTGCTTTGTCTACAAGTGCAAATGGTCACATACTCAGCTTCCAGCCTGTGTACTAGAGAATATAGGATTTATTCCCTTTAGCAGGGACCTGATCAAATTCTCATTGGAATATGGGTGAAGATTGTTACTGACTTCAGTTCAGCCCGCACTGCTCATTATTTCTCTTCTGCCTGTATTGACAAGTTACTTCTGTTTAAATCAGACATTCTTAACAGCCTCAAAATGCTAATTTCAGTCTTTTAAACATGGATTTCCCTATAGAAAGCTACCATCAGGTTGTCTTTAATAGCTTGATTCCTATTGACATAGAGAGAACTTTTCAGTTGAAAAACTTCCCCATTACTAATCAGTACAAAGCAAACTGATTTTTAATAATTCCTAATAATTGAAATTGTGGTGTGTTTGTGTGTTTTCTCTCCTGCTTTTAAATCCCCTATAATAAGCTATTGGTACTCAGTTTATTGATTCCCATGTTTATGTATTTATGGAGTTGGGATTCACACAAGCACTCACATAAACAGTAATTAGGGTTGCAAAGGCAGTTTAGTTTTGTTATTCAAATAGGATTTTAACAAAACCATCATGTCACCAAAAAAAACTCCATTCTTACATTTTCAGTCCTATATAGTTTGGCTGTACCAATTGATATGGTATCTGACCAACACCTATGTCTTATTCACATTTATAAGAGGAGAAATTTAATCTTCCACACTCAGCTGGGTAGATAACAATACAGGTTAAGGCTCCATATACATGTTCAAATGAACTGGGAGAATTCCCCAGAATATTTTTCTGTTAGAAAACCTCACCCAGAGACCCCTGAATTGGTATTGAATGCTGAGCCCCTGTGTTGAGGACAAACTCAGTTATGCAAACAGGAGTTGTCAATTCCCACTCGAATTGCCTCTTTAAGGAAGTGGGTGGGCTGCTCCCTCTAGGCATTGGCCTGTGGCCTGGCCCCACCTAATGCCATGCTAATTGATTAATAAATAAAATGCACAACACACAATATGAGGGGTAATTAATTAATTATTGAACTAAGATTTATAACAATAATCAACAACAGTGCTATGTACTCTGTGTGTGTGTATCATATGTATACACACACACATGGAGTTCCCTAGAGGATGCTAGAGAGCAATCCCTGGCTCTTACTCAACTCTCATATGCACTCAGCTGTACCACTCATACCAGTCCACTATCTCCACAATATCCTCTGAGGATATTGGTCTCTCAGGCCTTCATTTCCACACATACATACACAAGCAGAGGGGATTGACTGCCTTGGGTCTGCTGCACCCACCCTGGCACACACAACAATCAATCACTCAGTAGGTCTGGTGACCCCTCCTTGCATCGGCATGTACTGGACAGCCACCCCAACAGTAGAGTCAATCAGCTGTTCGTTCCCTCACCAAAGCTCCTCACCTACACATTGATCATGCCTCTGTTCAGGTGCAATCACTTTATATATAGACTGACACCTGTCAGTTCTCTCACACTCTACACCAATCACCACACATTACCTCACACAGGTGTTGCAACATTCTTCCCGCCACCTCAGCTGTTGTAGGGCAGAACTCTCTCTAAGTAGATCAACTCCAGCAGTAGGTCAAAAGTTCACCTACTGACTACCCTGGGGACACTGGTTTTAAGCCTCAACACCTGAGGAGCAGAGAACTTGGAGTAATAACACGGCACAGTCAGGGAGGCCTTTGCACACATCTCGGCATGCTTTGCATACTTTCTCAGTCTGCCTGGAGATAAATAGCAGCAGTTCACAGGGCAGCCCTGATTGGCTAATCCAGACTGTTCAAGGTCAGCCTTAGTCTCCTTGCAGCACAATGTGAGGATTGTAAAGGGGATGTGCTTTGCTCTCTGCTTAATTTGAAGCAGTCGAGTCCAGCCTTTCCAACTTTTGTTACTTTTGGCAATAATGCCTTACATGTGTTCTTTCATTCAGTTACAATACTCTGAGTAGCCCTCTTTCTCTGAGGCTTCTGAGAATTATAACGTAGATTTGACAGGAGATAGTAGTTATCTTTGACCATAATACAGTTCTCTCCAGACAAGTGTTATGCACAACCCAGAGTTTACTACAGAGTTTTCTCTAACTTTGAAGAATCTTGAAAATGCATACCGTTAGTTAATTCTTGCCATTACAGTGCTTCAGTAGAGTAGTTAGTTATCAAACACTACATTATAATGGTGCTATAAGATACGTTCATTAATAATAGATTTGAGAAGAGTATTGTTACTTCCTCAGATTTCAAAAAGTATTGATAATGTACAGTTCGTAGTTTATCATTTCAATATTGCTTGTCATATCAAGCCTAAAACAGACTGGATTAGTGGGAGAGGGAACTTTATGTAAAGAAATCTAATTGAAAATCTTCATCTTATAAAATCTTATGTTGAGTCAAGCTTCATTTGTTTTATTTTACTTTATCCAAACTACCATTTTGTACCATTCTTATTTGTAAATTTTGTTTACAGGTTCCACTAATGTTTTGGCATATACTCTTCATGGAGTCAAGCACACAGTAACTGCAGCACTGCATGTTATAATGGGTAAATATTTGGAAATGTAGGGTCAGATTTCAAATAATTTCTTGTAAAACTAAGAGGTCAGTTGTTTAAAAATAACTCTGCGTTTCACTATGCTGGATATTACATCATTGACTCATTTGCTGTGACAATGATTTTCCTTGGGATGTTCTAATTCATTATGCATCTTAATAGGGCTTTCTCCCTTGTTACCTTAATTTTTGTTCTTGTATGTGCATGTAAGGTTCAGTTGTAATGTTACAAAACTTTTTAGTTTACTTCCTAATAATAGTTTAAAAAAAAAAAACAAAAACAAACATATAGTGCTAATTGCCTGTGGAGGATTTTAATATTAGACCCTCATCTTCCAAACGAGTACCTGTGGGCACATGGAGACATTCCTGAGACTTGGTCTGTGATCACACAGCTTTCTTTTAAGTTGTGTGGGTGTAGATTGGGTCCCACTTGTGCATACGTTCACTGGTGCCAGGATACGCACCAGGAATGTGATCTAAGAAACTCAAGGTGGGGAATGAGGCAAGCAGGCTAGCGGGTCTGCGGGGGTGCAAATTTGGTGAGCTTGGTGGGGGGTGGGGGTTGGCTGGATTGGAAGGGAGCTGGCAGATTGTTGGGGGAGGGGAGTGGGGGGGGTTGGAGAGATTAAGAATAGCCCAGTTAGGGTTTGGGAGGCGTGAGAGGATGGGGAACGTGCAGCCCTAGGGTGACCATGCCTGACCTAAGTGCACTTTCTCAGGTGAACTAAGATTGGGCCAGTGATTTTGTTTTTTTTTTGTTTTGTTTTTTTTTGCCTGATCTAACTGATGGCTAGAAAATGATATGTAGAGGTTTGCTTTAGAACAATGGTCCAGGGGAATGGCAAGGTGTAATTGATTTTTAAAAGCCTGTTTGTGACAAAATTTCCTTCAAGGCCCACTGTATCTAAAGCCAGCAGACCCAAACTGGGATATTGAAGACGTGTACCAAACATGAACAGTGTACCCAAACAAAGATAAGGGACTCTGCAGCATTGGTACCAGGTCACAGTGCCCAATTGCAGAGCCCTTGGGACTTCCAGTTTTGGTGAACAGACCAAATTAAGAGGCCCAGTAAATAACGAAATTAAGATGTGTGCATGTGATAAGTTTGTTGGAACAAAGAAATATGCTGACAGAACAGAACATGAAGTGTGATGACCACAGGGAGACCAAGCAATGCTATCCAGAGATGAAGTCGTCAGAGGGGAGAAAGAATACAAAAGGAGGGATTTCAGGGTCCCCAGGAAGGGAACTCGAGACCACCATGGACAGAGGGCATATCACCACTGGGGTGGGGGGCTTGTCCTTCAATCTCCAGGCTATTGACATTCAAGCAAGAATCTCAAGGTGAAGCTTGCATACCGGTGAGATGTACCTTCCCTCTGTGACAATTTTAGGACTCGTCGACATAGAGGTTATTTTGTTTCCCTTGCCTGCATTAGTCTTATCTGCTATTACTATAGATTAGTAAAATTTGCCTATTATTGAATGGAGAGGTCACTGTCAGTCTGAGGGTTTGAGTCCAGCTGGAACAAGGTACCTGGGTTATAAATCCAGTGCCAACAACTGGCAACTGCACTGGGATGGATACCCTGCGAATCTGGGACTGGGACCAGGTCCAACAATTGGGGACTGGGACTTGAGGGCAGTAACCTAACTGATCAGGGAACATGTTGATACAGAGTGAACCTCTGTAGAGGGGTCAGCCAAGACTTGTAGTAGGGTAAAGCTGTGGAACTATGGCTGGAGACGTGTTTGTAAAGTGAAACTGTATGGTAGTTCCAACTAGGGTTGAAGCTAAGTAACCATGTCTGTGTCAGAATCTTGTATGCAAGAGATTGGTTTGTTGCACTGCTGACCGAGGAGAGTTGTTTGTCCAGATCAGGCAGAGTAGGGTACAGAGGTACAGGTGTGCTGGTGGCAGGAGCAGCAACTTCGAGGAAGACAGGGTCACAGCATGATCTCGGTGTGTGACTGAGGCCCGTGGTTTGGACAGGGGTACAGGCTGTGGTCTGCTTGGGTTAAGTAAGGTAACCTTCTATCACAGGTATGACACAAAGCCAGGAGCAAAGAAAATTAGCTTCTGTGCTAGAGACTGAACAGAGAGAGTCCTTGGGACTCTGGGGCAGTTGTAAACAGGGTTGTATTTGTAACAGGAGCAAAGCCAAAAGGGAGCTCAGACACAGTTAAAGGAAGAGCAGGAAGGTTCAGTCCCACTGCGAGATTGGGGATGCAGGAGGGTGTTAAACAGATACCTTGCAATCCTGTGTGCCCCTATGCCTATGGTCATAGCCAGGGACACGGGAGAGATGAGCAATGTTATTGGACACCTGCATATTCTTTTTGTGGCTTTGGTTCATTGCGTGCTAGCAGGTGTTTTTTGTGAATTGCAAAGAGGAAGTAGTAGAGGCAGGGCAGCCATCGGGACTTCTCCTGCAGCTCCTCTTACCAAGGCAGAGATGGGAACAGCCAGAGGAGCCACATGAGAAGCCCTCCTGGATGCCCATCCCGGCCCCAATCTCCTGACACTTTTTTTTAAAGCCCTCACTCACTGGCTGCAGCAGTGGCGATCAGAGACTCTGGGAGCTCCTGGTAGAGACCCCCTGTGCAGTGTGGGGCAGTGGGGATTGCCCCGCTCCCTGCCTGACACCTGTGCAGCAGCTACCTCATGGGGCAGCTACCAGACAGCACTCAATGCCCTTCCAAGCCACGCTGCACCCATGCCATGGGGCAGCTGCCACATGGGTGCCGGGGGGGTGGCAATCCCTGCTGCCCCCGGCTGCGTGGGGGGGCTCTGCCATGAGCCCTGAGAGGCCCTGATCCCCGCTGCTGCAGCCAGTGATTGCAGGGCTTTTTTTAAGTGCAGGGAGGCTGGGGCTGGGCAGGGCAGCCATAGGGGCTTCTCCCGCCGCTCCCCCCACTCAGGCAGTGGCAGGCACAGTCAGAGGAACCACAGGAGAACCTGTAGCCGCCCAGCTGTGCCTGCCTCTCCCCTGCTGATCTGAATCTCTAAATCAGCGCCGAATCTCCAATTCTGATTCAGCCAAATCAAATGGGGACAGTGATTTGAATCACCGAATCAAATCACTGTCCTCCGAATTGGCCGAATCCAAATTTTAATACTTCCCTATTTGCACAGGCTTACTAGACAGCCATCCTGATGATCAGATAAGCACTGGTTGCTGAATAGAATGCTACCTAAAATGCTGAGTAAAAAGTTTAATAGACATGTCTGGCCATACATTCCCTGGCCCCAGTATGAGAGGCCTGCTTAAACTTCATTATCTAAAACTTGGTTGCCAAGTTAGAGAATGCTGAGGCAGAAGACCGGGGGTATGGGCGACCATTCAAACAGTGGTTAAGGGCTCATCGTAACGTTCAGCCTGCTGGAGCCCCTGATCACAGATGTTGTCATACTTTTCCCAGAACGACTGGTGGAGGTCCTCGCCACAATCTCGTAAACATTCCAGGTAATTGCCTTGATCATGCCTAATTTATAATGTGAAGGTGTAAGACCTTCAAGGAGGGGATTGATGGCTAGAAAATGATATTTAGATGTTTGCTTGTGGGAATTGGCTAACCTCCCCAAACATATGTACAGTATAGCATTTAGATGGACCTAACTCGTTAGGTTGATATAAGTGTAATATCTGCATATATCCTCTCTCATATACCTTCCTATCTCTGTGTATATTTTGCTGCATACAACAGATTTGGTGAAGTATCAAGGACATGCAGAAGAAACACTCATTAGTTACAAAATCCTTCATATAAAATGTGTACAGTGATTGAAGTGGGCTTTCAATGTATATGAAAAATAATATGCAATTATTCTTATATGGACTTATATGTTCTTAGATATTGAATATTATACATATGCTTAAGGGGGTAAAGTTAAGATTAACTCAGCAAACTTAAATTTGCACTTTTGATTCTTAGAAAATTTACTATTCAACGCTAGCGTTCCTCTTATGGCAGAAATTTGTATGCAACTTTTTTGATTGTTTTCTTTTAAAAGAAAAACAGAGGGAAAAGTAACCTCAACATGAGTATGTACTTTTGAGATTACAACAGAACAATTTACTACATAATGTGTACAATCAGTGATGGAATAGCTCTTCTTTCATAGATGCACATATTTCATAAATAGTATTACATAGGCTTTGCATATTGTGCCTGAAATTCCATTCTTTCATATTATGCATACACAAACCCAATGAAAATCCAGAGAGAGTCTGTTTAATAAAAACTTCCCTTCAGTTTTTTTTTAAACACCTGTGCCTGGAATATTGGCAGACTGGTAGTTTATTCAATAGAAACAAAAATGGCATATGTGTTTTGAAGTATATTTTAAAATTCTTGTAAATCAGCCAGTAAGAACTGTAAAGGCTTATCTCTTACTAGTAGGGACTTCGTGGTGAATTTCCATTGCTAGTACCCACTGTAGAAACACCAGGAAAATAATAAAAATATATAAACATCTTTCCAATAACATATATGAATTTATTTAAAGATGGTGCTTAAATTGTCAAAAAAATCAGAATATTCTGTGTGGAAAAAGTGCTGAATTGCATTTATAAAGCATCTGAATATGAATTCAGAAGATACATTTGTAAAGCCTTAACTTTGTGTGTTGCTCCATTCCACGTCCATAACTCTTAACTTGCTGAAGAAGAAATTAGTAGCATTCAAGATCTCTTTTTGCCATTTGACCTAGACTTTCCTGATTGTTTCAGCTTAGAAGTATAAGTAAGAGGTAAGCTGTGGTTGGAAACAAATAGTCTGTTTGCAGCTTTGATGTTGATGTTCATGTTTCAGGACATATTCAACCAGTGGACATCTGCACATTCAGTAGCCCAAGCAAGCTTCTTCGTTTTGGGTTTTCAGCCATGTTTGGCTTTGGTGCAAGGACTCTAGCAGTGGCTGAAAAACATCGCTGGATGCCCCCCAACCAGCGGAAAGATTTTGCTGTAATCAGAACCCTAGCAAGTCTTAAGTATGCTAACCCCTTTTTCAAGTTTTTTATTTTCCTCATGAAAATGTAATTTTAGCTTCTGGATTTTACTGTATGTTAAGTGATAGTTGTGATTTTTTTTTATTATGAAAAGGTGAATGAATTTAGTCAGACACCATTTGGGTACTGCTATACATTTGCAGTATTACAGTTTGAAGAGGAAAAACTCCTGAACACTTAATACTGAACTCAGTATCATTTTCAAAATCATTTTAGCCTAGATAAAAAGCACAGACAGAGAAGTCAGAACATTGGTTTCTGTGGTAATGAATGTCAATGCTTTTCTAGGCCAGAGGAGTGTGAGTTATCATTTCTGCCTCTGAACAATCCACAGCAGTGCTTTCAGGAGAATGATAGGTAAGTAAAACTGAATTAAGAAGTCCTGTATTGTATGACATCTGTATTTTGAGGATAACGTGAGAACAAAATGAAATATTGTTTAATGCAGTTATATTGCAACCCAAAATGGAACTTTATTTCTTTGAGGATTATGATATAGACAACTATTAATTTTCATTCTATAAAGTATTCATTTATCTTTGCTGTGCTTTTTACCTCTTGAAACAGTCTGTACAGAAGCAGCAATCAGTATTGTTGATTTCAGTATTACTGTTGTTAATAGTTGAATTATTATTACATAGACTTTAACATGAAACATCAGTGTTTATTTGCTTTGAAATTTTTTCTCATTTTGAATTATTTTATACAACACATTCTTTTTAGAATGAAGAAAGACAGAATTAAAAAATCTGGTAAGTTTCAAGTTCCATATTACTTAAACAGGAACTGTGTTTGGCTTAAACTGAAGTAATACATAGTAACTCTGTTATATTTAGACAGCAAGGATCAGTGGCACAAAATCGAGGGTCATTTCTTGAATGTGAGCATTATGGCAATCCCCTGTCTATGTGCAATGGCACCAAGAGGCTTGGCACCTAATACCAGGTCAGTAAGGGCTTAGAGAATTAGAGTAATGTCTGTAAATTCTGGCATCTTACTTTAAAATCTTGGCTTTTCCAGCAAGCCTGTCTAAACCCTCTAACGTGGGAGGCGGGGGAGGGGGGCGGAAATGTGAACAGCACCTGACGCCATAATCTCAGGAATTGTAATCAGTTTTTGAATCTGTCAGATGAGGTCAAGTCAGCTAACTAGAATTATCATTGGATAATGACTGTGATTAAATTAGGTGGCAAGTGTGAATTAAGCAGCAGTCAGCAAGTAATCTGTCTCAGTTTTTCTTGTTGGGAGGAAACTTGGGCCTTGGATTTCCTATAAAAGCCTCTTAATCTTGCACTCTGAAGTTGGGAAATCATGTAGAATATTTTTCTTTTTACTATCTTTTTGCTTAAGCCAGCAGGCAGCAACCTTTTCAAGCAGCAGGCTGGAACAACCTGGCTCCAGTCCAGTGTGGTCTGGGTGGATTCCATAGTGCATCAATGGTGGGGGCACTTTCCCTGAGCCTGTGTAAAGGCCAGACAGCTAGGCAGTGCACCCATGCTTCCACCATTTCTTCCAGCCCCCTGCACTGCAGTGGGTGTGGTTTCCAGCCAGTGGCGAGCTGTCCTGGGGCTGGGCAGCTGGAGGCTGTTCCATGCTGTTATCACATCTTGCCACAGCTGGGAAGTGGCAGGGTACAGGGCGGGGAAGGAGCATGGAAACAGCTTCCAGCTGGCTAGCCCTGATACAGCCAGGGGGCACTAGGGGGCAGGGGGAAGAAGCAAGAGTGGCAAAGGGCACTGCTGGCAGTTGCCCAACCCCTGGTGAAGCTTCTTGCTGCTTAGCCCCAGCATGAGCCTGGGTATGGGCAAAAGCCTTCAGGTTCTGTGGGCCAGACCTAGTGGTTCTGTTGACCATATGTTGCCAACCCCTGATCTAAGCTAATTTTTGCATCAGAATTAAGCCTGTAATCAATACAGCCTTTGCTCCTGTCACCAGTTGATTTTTTTTTTTTTTTTTTTTTTCCCCTTACCTATCAC